TATTTCCTCCCAGCTTGTTCATTCGCCCTGGAGCCTTCAGATCCTCCTGGAATCACGTTCATCCTGCAGCCCCTGTACGAGCCTTTTCGTCTGGATTTCCACGTGAAGACCAGGCGCGACGCCATTTTAGTCTTGGCGGAAGAAAAGACAGAAGAATCTTCGTTTGCGTGGATAAGTGAGTATCGGTAACAATCACTTGAATTACTTGCACAATTATTTTACCCAAATTTATCCACGCTGTCCCTTTAATTAAGTAATTACCCAGCTTTTTGAAACAATGGAGGAAATCATTTTCCTCATGAAATAAAACCAACAAACGCAACAAAGTTTCCAGGACGCACACAGGCTCAATGGGTCGTTTTGTGTCGGTCGCCCGTGTCTTGCTCGAAAGCAAGATCTTAATGTCTTGGTAGAATCGTACACAGAATTTTTCAAGCAAAGAGTTCGTGTAGAACGCTATTTGACAGCCAGAAATCGGTCTTTGTTTATAAAACAAATTAAATTGAAGAGGGAAAAGCTAAGTGCGGTTTATGAAAAGCTCTTAGCGGGGCGCTTTAATATCAATAAATGTTCACGTAAGAGTAGTACTCGTACCGATAGATACGAGTACAAACAGTCCCTGGATTATGGTTTGGGCTGTGGATGGAAACTATGATATCACGTGTGTGACATGCGCTAGGATGAGGGTAATATGCTTTTTTATTAACCTGTCAGCGACCGTCCTGGCCCAAGACAGAGGTATATCAAAGTTATCCAAAGCTATGAAAGCGATGACATTGCAGGATAACATAAAACATGTCGATATTTTGAAGTTTCCTTTTCGAGTAGTGTTGTTGGTGGCAGTCTAAATATTGGCATTGCTGTTTGTGTCCAAGACTCGTCAAATCGACATCTACTTTTTAATTGTGAGAGTTCAAATTTACCCGTTTTATTGTGCCGCCCTTTCACGTAATCCTCAGTCACGAAATATATTTGATTACAATTCCACAGCCATTGGTAGCTTCGACATGCACAGGTCAGCCGTAAGAGCCTGCTTTTTGCTGGATTCACCTACTTGCCATGAGTTACTCGGGGGACGATCGGTTTACGACCACGAGGAACTTCTCGTCAGTGCCGAAGAAAGCCGCCCCTTCTGGGTCGCTTACAAGGACAGCGTA